AACCAACTGCCGATGAGCCTTTTCCGGAAGTGTACTGCCCACGTGGTACCAATCGATATACGTACTGTAAAATGAATTAATAAAACTAAATCAGCTTTTGCAGTGCCGAGGCTGCACAGTGACGGTCGCTGAAGTGTAAGATAGTGTAAATGTATGTAGAATTATATCTATAGGAAGGCATGCGCCAAGCCTCTAACTTTGAGTTGATAATCTGCGGTCTTGACTAACGATGAATATATGCTGTGTGTAATAAAGTTGCCCTAACTCGGTCGGATCGCCGTGCCAAGATCGGACTCGCAGTCGCTCGTCCAGCGTACAATCCTCATCCCCTACATCTCGATAATTAAAGCCCCCTTCCACCACCTCATTTTCGTTCCAGACAAATCAACATCGACAGCAATGACGTAACAGGAAGTCAGTATTGAAATCTCCGGAAGAAGTTATTCCAGGAAATCATAAACTGAAAGATACAGCTACCTATGCAGACCACATCAACAATGCTTCAAATGCAAATTCATTTTGCATATTTCAGCACAAAAAATTAAAAATTTGACGTACCTGCAAAAATTGACTTTTACTCGTCCCCGGATCACCACAGAGCAAAATGTTGATTTCGCTTCGTAAATTGTTTTTATGCCCCGTCTTGTCTTCTTTACGAGTACCACCGAACAGAAGACATAAAATGCCACGTTTGATATCGTCATGCCCGTAGATCGAAGGAGCTGAAGCAGCCATACAAATGAAAAGATTTGGATTCCAATCTCAATTACCACAGTCGTCGTACTGACGAAGTCCAGTTGTGGTAATAGGAAGAAATGTATACGACTTAATGGATCGAAACACTTCTTATCATTATAATAATCCCATAAATTTTCTAATTTTCATTTCTCACCTTTCTTTTCCTCTTTCTATTAAATTCAGACAATGTTAAATGAGAGTTGCACAACGACACATAGCTTAACTTTCACTGCATTCGAAGCCGTTAATCAAGCTGATCAGCTGGTCAACACCACTTAAATTTAGTCAAACAAAACGCAGCACAGCGATTTCTTGACATGTTTGGAGCTGGTGGGCTTCAAATTTTCTCACAAAATTTTCTAATTTCCATTTTTTACCTCCCTTTCCCTTTTTTCTTTTTTCCATTCTTTCCTACTATAACCTTCTATTACAGGTCACCATACCTCAAAAGTAACTCATCGTTAGCATTCCCACGCTATAACAAGAGCCCAGACAGGAATTCTACGAGAAGGAAACTGGAACAGAATTTCGAGGAATACAAAATTTGGAAGAAATAAAATCAAAAATCAAAATTCACAAAGTCAAAATAATAATAGTAAATTTTTCTCACCTACGGCACTTGCCAAACGATCGACAATATC